ATGTGTATTTCATTTTAACTAAAAATTGAGTTGGCAGACTTTTTAAAGTACTATATAGTAAATGTTGTGTACCCTCAAATCGGAATTGGCTCATAGCAGACTGTCTAGCAGGTATTCAGAGGCATTTAATCATGTGAGCTATTACCCATCCTCCTTTGTAGCAGTGGTGTTTTTGAACCACCTGCCTTTGGGATAACAGCACAGCTACTTTCCACAAGGCCATATGCTAAGGGTCTTGGTATAGTAATGATGAAGAGTTACTGGAATTAAGTAAGTTACAGAGCCCTGATCTAGAATATCTCCCCCTCCTTTTTTTTCCTCTAATGGCTCTTTAATGACTATTTGAAGATTGAAGGCCAGTTTTCTTAGGGAATGTATTCCAGTACAGAGTTTAAAAAAATGTTTCCTCATTGGTTTTTTTAAAATTACAAATCTTAATTCTAGAATTCTTTCATTAATAGAAATGGAAATCTGGTTCCTTTATATAAGTGCTGGTTCACTTGAATATGAAACTATCCTTTTTTATTCTCTCTCTGCAGCAAGGTATGTAGAAGTTGATAATAAAATTTATCTTCTAGATTGCTGAATCCTTAACTGGCATTCAGATATCAGTATTGTGTGTGTGTGTGTGTGTGTATATATATAAATATATATATGTTTTAAAATGTTTAAATTTCTTTTTCAATTTGTGCGTGTGTATACTTTACAGTTATTTTTGTTTCTATGGAGAGGACTGGGTAGTGAAAATAACTTAGTTGTAGACATGAAATATACTTTAGCACAATATAATTCTATAATATAAAAACTATTGTGCACAATTATAGATAATGCTGGCAATGGCAAACAAAAATAAAGACTTCTTTGTCACAGGTAAACTCACTGTTAGCCTGGAGTATGAGTCAGCTTTAGAAATATAAAACATAATGTTATAGATACAAAGTTGCTGTGTGGGGAAACATTATGCTTGTATCCCTGGAATTGTAATATGGAATAAGTCTTAATTCAGAGAGAAACAAACATAAAGTCTTAAAATTTTAGTGCTTGAAACATCTTTTTCAATGTCTGTATGACGATCTGTGGTGATAGGGTGACTCACTCACTATAACTTTTGTCAAATTATAACCAGTTCAGTTCACCTTCCAGTGGGTTTTTGTGGGATTGTGACTCCACACAAGAGGAGATTGCTTTTCTTCCTCAGAGTCCCTGGGGGATGAGGTGCCTTGCAGTTCACATAGACTATGGCTACTGAGCTCTCTTATCAATTTTGACAGGAGATTTTTCTCCTATTGTCCCTTTACCACAATTTGAACTTTGTAGTGTGTTGTCTGTCTCTCTAGTATATCCCATAAAATAAGTTGCTTTCATGTTTAGAGGTTGAAATAATCATCCATATAGAACTTTCTTTTCTTGAAACCCTGGAGGTGTAATATTACACATGGACTCCCCACTGAAAGTTTGGTGGTTTAAAGCCATCAGCCTCTCTGTAGGAGGATGATGATGTAATGTTCTTCCATCAAGATTTACAGTCTCAGTAACACAGAGGCTAGACACCGTCAGTTAGAATCTGCTGCATAATACGAATTTGATTTGGGGCTTTATTTCTAAGTATTTTCAGATCTCTGTTTTTTACATCACAACTCTACCAAACTAGTTGCTTTAACATTGGGACTTTACTTAAATCTATGGTTTTGTTTCTTTAAGATAATGATATTAAGACACTTAAAAACAACAATGCCTGTTAAACTACAGAAATGTTAGATGCTCTTGGGACTCATATTTGTCCCTGTGGTTTATTCATGAACTCGTTTGCCTCTAAGCTGAGCTAAAAGCAGCAGCTACAGGTATGAAGTGACTATCCCAGGAGAAGTAAAAGGGTCACTTCCTTTGTTCCATTTCTTCCATCCTGCCCTCCCTCTTATCCCCCCTTAATTAATTTTGGACAAAAGTTGGAATCTTGTGGAAATTATTTTATTGGGAGATTTTCTATTGAGGAAGTAGGTAGCCTAGCATAATGAACTATTTTCATCATTCAGTCCCAACAGCATTACCAGTCTTTGTGTTCATCCGCATATGATTCCTTTTCTTCTCCTCTGGTATAGTTTTATCTTTTCCTGTTTTACATAATCTTGTGATTTACCTTGGGAAAACCCTACAGAATAGATTCTTACTCTGTGATCATTGTTGACTCAATGAACAAAATAATCTTGCCTGAGTTTGAGACCTAGATCAGATTCTGTGGTTTGCTTTTGGAAGTGGGTGGTGTAGGTGGGTAGGTGGGATTTAAAGTAGATTTGTATTTTACTGCTTTTAAACTGTAATATTTTTCTGAATCCTTAAATTTTAGCTTGATATGTGCATGTGTTATTTTTAAAAAAAAACACAATTTTCTTATAGTCTTTCAACTTTTTAAAATTTTATTTTCTACTATATTTACAAAATTCTACTACATTGTTTTCAAGAACAAATTCTTTCAATTTCCCTCTTAGTTTTGTTTAAAGTCTTTATGAATTTTTTGGGGGGGGCTATGGTGATTGTTTTATTTTTGGCAAGAGAAGCACAATGATAGTTGAAAGTTAATCTTCCTTTTTCATTTCTTTTTAATGTCAGATTTATCATGTAATAATATAGTAATATTGTTTATATATAGTATAGGTTTAATGGTTTGGGTTCATAGATCTTACTGTCTTTTAGTAAAGGCCATTTTTCACTACTATTTTAGACATGAAAAACCATGTACCTTTGTAACTTACAGCATTTTTTGCAAGCTAAAATGGTTTTTAATAACTTGTTTTACCTATGTGTTATTAATTGTACAGCATTTTGCTGACAAATTAATAGATTAATAATTCTTTTTATGTATCTAGTTATTATATCAACACGTTATTTTAGAGGAACATTCTTCTAAGTGGTACAGCACTCTTCTTTAAATTTGTTGTACTGAGGTAAACTGGGGATGCTGTGATGCTGAACCTTGTGCCATTGGGGTGTCAAATGCCATAACAGTTACCCATGAGTGACAGTGTTTGGTGGAGCTCCCAGTTTAAGACCGTTTTGGAAGCAGGAGTTGCATTCACTTTCTGAACAGCATCCCTCTGGAAACTATGAAATTTGATAGATGACAATAGTTCTAGAAAGGCTTCAGGTCTTTTGTTCATAGAGTTGGAGCACGACAGCAATCAGCAAAACAGTGATTATATGGCAATATTTCACCCATTGCTAAAACTGATCAATTATGTTACAGAAATACCCTAAGTCTTTGGTCTTTCAGCTGGAAGCATTTAAGAATATTGTAGAGAAGATTGCCACCTCCATGTCCAGCTTTTGTGAGCCTGCCTAGTAGAGATTGCCTGTAGAAGCAGGCTTTGTACACATTTCTCACCTCAAACTCAAAGGAGACTTAATGAAAGTTGAGACATCTATAACTTATACTCGATTGAGTTTATCTATAATCGTAGTTCTCCACATTTACAGTTCTGACTTTTAAATGAAGTATCTCTAGGTTGAAAGAAGTCTAACTCTTCATTATGAAATATTTCATCAGGATTAATTTACATGGGGCTTAAAAACAGTAGTATGTGTGCTTGGGCAGTAGTTTCAGAAATTTTCCCATTAATGTTGCAGTAACTATTACTATGAACTTAAAAATTGCATTGCTTCAGAGTTTGGTGAAATTTCATCTCACAAACTTTGGCATGTCAAAAGGACCACTTTTTGTAAAAAAGACATTGTTCTGGGAAAGCTGGAGGCTCAGAAAAAGAGGAAGAGAGCCTCATTACAATGGATTACCTACCAGAGTGACCTTAACAATGGACTTAGCCAGATTAGAGATCTGGAGGATAGGGCAGGATTGTGAATCTGAAGTGACTCAGTGGCATCTCACAAGTATTCTGAATTTAAATGGATGTTTGTCACTTATTATTGCACAGAGCATCTATTTATTTATTAATTCATTCGAAAGTATTTTTTGAACATCTGTAATGCTGGGAACTGCTGCAAACTTGGTAGACCATGAGCAAAACAGATGTGTTTGCCTTTATGGAGTATACAGTCTCGTGGAAAACAAATTGATCTCAAGACACATGAAAAGTATTTAACTTTTTGGTTAGTATTTCTATATGTAATGATTAGATGTAGGTAAGCAGGACAGTTTCAGCCCCCCAGGAAAGGTGAATTAGAATATATAAGATTTCAGGATGGTGACAACTAGATTTCTTTAAGTAAAACTGTATGCACACTTGACCCTTGCAGGTAGAAAAGTAAAAATATCTGTGACCTTTTCTTTCCGTAGATGCTCAATAATTAAGAATTGAACATTGTTATATTTTTTTGTGCTAGTTTTAAGAAACAGACTTGTTGAAGGAAAGTAAGCCTTTTGTCAAAAGAGCAAATGAAAGTCATGAGACTTAAGACTGTGCCAGAGTTATGTGACCATGTCTTGTGACTGGACAAGAAAATGCTTCAGATCATGTACTCCAACAGACTCTAACAGAGGGTAAATTTGGTAATACTTACTGTTGTGTACCATCAAGTTGATTCTGACTCATAGCAATTGTATAGAAGAGTACAGTTTTATCTGTAACATTTCTAAGACTGTTAACCTTTACCAGCAAGTCTTCTACTCAGCTGCTGGTGGATTTGAACTTCACACTTCTTGGTTTATAGCTGTGCCACCAGACCATCTTGATTCCTCTTGGTCTTTTGTGGTTTTTAATTTTTTAAATAGTATCTTAATGATTATTGTGAAGTCAAGTGTCTTTTTACTTGTTCAAGAACTAGAAAATTTAAAACAGAGAAGGAGGCTTTGCTTTCTCTAACTGATATTTTCTGACTAGGTACTTCGTAACTCAGGAAGACCATTTATTTCCAGTAATATGTTTTACTTAACTCTTTCAGGTAACTTTAAAAAGACTGTGTGACTTAATAGTAGATAATGACTTGAACTCAGTTTTTATTGTCATTACTGAAACATTTTAGTGAGATAGTTTTCTTTGTCTCTGTAGTTATCAGAGACTGTTACAGACAATTGCAGTACTCGAGGCTCAGCGCTCTCAAGCAGTTCAAGACCTTGAAAGCTTAGGCAGACACCAGAGGGAAGCATTAAAAAATCCGATTGGATTTGTGGAGAAACTCCAGAAGAAGGTACATGTTGAGCACTTAAAAGACTTACTGAAATATAATTGATAATAAGAGAATTGATTTATTGATATAAATACATGAAGATGGAGTAGACCATTTTTTTTTTCGTTAATTTTCTTTCCATCCTTCATTTTTTTTTTCCTGTGAAAAGTCCTCTTTCTGTCATCTTTAAATAATATCTTTGACTTTTTCATTATTTTTTAATCAATTTTGGGTATTGAAAATGAACACAGTTCATGAAAATACACTTTTATTATCTACTTTTAAAATAACACTTTTCAGCTAAATTCATTATAAATGGTATATATTATATCTTAGCACCAGCAAGTAGATTTTCCTACCAGATTTAATTGAAAAGTATATTTTATTATTGTGTTTATTAATAAGGGCTTATATTTATTTTCTTTTTATGGAGTTTAAAGTGTAGAAAATTTTTAAGTTGTTGACTTGTATGTAATGTCTGATTTAAATAGAAATCGAAAAACTCAATAATACTATTTTAAATTATAGAATTTGATTTAATAATCAGGTATGAGCTGTTTGGTAGTTTAAATTATACATATTAATAGTAATATTCTGTATTGAGGAGACAAAGGTTATGGATTTTGTGTGCCACAGAATAGATTTCGCTTGACATTTGCAGAATTTACAATCTAATGTTCCCCAAATTTCATCATGAAAATGATTAAACTTAGAATAGTTAGCACACACATTTCCATAACTAAGTTGTTTCGTATAACAGTTTGCAGACATTACGTACATTTCTCACAAACCACTTCAATGTTCATGTCATTAATTTCTTTTTTAATTTGAAATTTATATATGGCATAATTTACAAAATTAATTTTACCATTCATTGAACTTTGACAAATACATGTACTTAAGTAACCCAAATCGCTATCAAAATCATTTGTTATTCAGCAGTCTGATTTACTTGATATCAGTGAACAACTTCCTTACAGATGATTGATAAAGTTACTGAATTCCAGATAAGTGATAACAATTTGATTCTTAGAATGTTAATGATATTTCATAAATGTGGTAGGAGCATATGCGTTCTAGAAGTAGCTATAATTTTGTGATAAATCATGAGCATGGATAGTCATATCAGATGAATTCTGTCTCCGAACTTATCAGTTAGTATTCAGATATCTTTCATGTACCATTCTTATTTTACTTTGGTATTTATGTTTAAAGACACTGTTCAGCTTTAAAACTCTGAAAGTGGTATTTGCATCTTAGAAAATTAATTTTACTTGTTAGGTAGTTTATAATTTTAATGTTTAGGCTGTATTTTTAATTTTACTGACCATTTGGAGTCATACTATTTTTAAAAAGTGCTCAGCTAATTGTTTCAATTTAGAGTCAAATGAAGAATTTACTATAGTTATTCTTTTATTTAATCAAGAAATCCTTTTTCTTCTCCAGGCTGATATAGGGCTTCCATATCCTCAAAGAGTTGTTCAGTTACCTGATATTTCATGGGACCAATATACCAATAGCCTTGGGAACTTTGAAAGAGAATTTAAAAACCGTAAAAGACATACTAGAAGAGTTAAACTAGTGTTTGACAAAGGTAAGAAATAATATGATTAGGATTGTAAGTAGAGAAATGTTTTTGATTGGTCTTACTCTAATAATTTGTACCTGGGCTTGTTTTCAGTAGGTTTACCTGCTAGACCAAAAAGTCCTTTAGATTCTAAGAAGGATGGGGAGTCCCTTCCTTACTCTATGTTACCTTTGAGTGATGGTCCAGAAGGCTCAAATAGTCGTCCTCAGGTAAGTAGTATAACATTTTGTGGACAAAACTTTTTTCATATTTTGCTGGTGTCTTTCCTAAAGTGTTTTTTCAAGGAAGATGGTGGAGACATAAACTTTGAAATTATGAAAAGTCCAAGTTTTCATCTAACTTCACCTCTTATGTATTCAAATTAAGTATCCAAATTAGTCTTAACAGAAAATGAATTTACTGTTACCAAGTGGTGTGGTTTTAAGAGGATTAATTGGAAGAACATGCATTTTCTAGTACTGTGCCCAATGTGTTTTGTTCCCTTAAAAATAGTAGTTTTGTAGATGTGTAATAGATAAATAAATATGAATACGAGTTGAATCTTGGCCTTGCCACTCTAAAACAACTCAGTCGATACACTTTATTCTGAGTTCACATTTTTTCTCTGCTTCTTAAATGAAGTTACTGGCATCTATATCATAGGATTGTCAGGAATATTGAGGGCTTTTGGCTGTATCAAAGGTTAGTTTTGTTGTTTTCTCTTTGACCAAAGCGTTGTTTTGTACACAGATGATAAGAGGACGCCTGTGTGATGATACTAAACCTGAAACATTTAACCAATTGTGGACTGTAGAAGAACAGGTAATAGATATTTTTAAATTGTATAGTTTGTTTTTTTTTAAAAAATAAATTATTACTATTGTAGCTAGTATTATAAGTACATATTGTATATAATCCCTGTTAGAGGAGCTCTGGTAGCCTTAGTGGTAAAAAGCTGCACTGCAATCCCAAAGACAGGCAGTTGAAATCCATCAGCTGTTCTGTGTAAGGATGAACAGTCTCCTCCTATGTGATATACTGCTTCTGAAAACTTGCTGTAGGGTCAGCAATGAATTGGTTACGACTTGATAACAAACAACCACCACCACTAAGACCATCACTACCATGGAGTGTCCTTTTACAAATTTATAATACCCAGACTTAATTGCATGCATATTTTTATATGTTTCTCAGAATTTTTAACATTTTTAGAACATATGAACTCTAATTTGGGGTTAACTTCTATGAAAGGAATAAGAGCTCTAATTCCTCCTACTACTGAGAGAGTTGCTTGCTCACCCAGTAATAACTCTGTGGAGGTTCAAATCCAAAAATGGCTCCAAGGGAGAAAGAGGGGGAGTCTCCTCCTTTGTAATTTACTGTCTCTGAAAACTACTGGAGGGTTAACTATGAATTGGCTCTAATTGCATAGCAATAAATGAGTTTTTATGGAAAGAACATCGATTTAGGAATGTAGGACGAAACTACAGCAAACTAGATGGACTAGAATAGATGTTTTTGTAATGTGTCTTTGGAAGAGAAAAAAACAGGAGGCGAAATAAAGCGAAGACTGAAAATGTATTATTTTTAATTGGAGGAGAGCTATTAGGAGTTGAGTCAGAGTGCTCTACTACATACTGGCATATGGCTAGAATTGTTTGGAATGAATTTTGAGACATTTCTGTTTTGTCTGAGGTATCTCACATTTATCATAAACTTAGTAGTTTATAAAAGCCTTTAAGAAACCTTTATTTTAAGTGGCAAGAAGCTGCACTACAATCCCAGAGGTATGTGGTTCGAATCCAACAGATGCTCTGCTGGAGAAGGAGGGGCAATCTTCTCCTGTACCAGTTAGATCCGATTTGACAGTACACACAAACACACAAATAATAAAAAAATTTGTAAAAAAATCAAAAGAAACCTTTATTTTAAATATCAAGATTACGGCATCTTTAGGACTGTGGGAAATTTTGGAAGCTAGGTAAGAATATTAAAATCAAACATATGAATGGAGGACTGTACAAAGAAGGAAAGACCTCTTTTAATACTGTGTCTGAATGCAATTGAGTTTATATACCTGCTTTGTCAAAACTATAAGGGAACTCTGTTGGATAATCCAGTGGTAAGGAGTTGTACTGTCTCCCAGCAGCTCTGTAGGAGGAAGATGGATAGTCTTGCTTCCTGTATTTTATAACTTGTGAAAACCCCCTGCAAGTTTAGCTTTAAGCCAGTTTTTTACTGAAAGATACATAAAAACAACAAAAATATTAGGGAGCAGCTAAACCTTGTCTATTGGCAAACCAGTATGGTCAGTGGAAAGGACTAACATTTGTAAAATATCAGTTTGTTTATTTTCCCTATAGAACTTTTTTCACGAGGATTTCTGTAATGTTATCCTAAAAATTGTAGGGTGAGAAAGAAGGATGCTGTTGTATCTTGCAATGAAATGCAAAACAATTTTTTTTTTTAAGAAACTCAGTATTTGAAATTGAATACTTATTTTCTTAAATTTGTTCTTGGGTTTGGCTTAGAAAAAACTTGAGCAGCTACTTCTTAAATACCCTCCTGAAGAAGTAGAATCTCGACGCTGGCAGAAGATTGCAGATGAACTGGGCAATAGGACAGCAAAACAGGTAATTGAGCAGATTGTTCTAGATTGCTAGGATGTTTGTTTTGTGGGAGTTTTTTTTTCAGTGACAGTTATGCAGTTGACATTATTTCAAGCTTCCAAGTATATATTATACAACTTTTTCTATATTAGGATAATACATTTTTATATTCATTTCAGAACTTGTTATCAAACACTGAAAAAGAAAAAAATATAGTAGTCTGATATTGTCTTGAATTTTCATTAAGTACATTGCTTAAGCACTTTTTGTTTCATTTAAATTTAGTGCCAGTAGATTTGTAACATTACTGCAATCAGTATTCCTTGGAGTCCCTGGTTGTCTTGAAAGATATTTTAACAGTTTTTTTCTTCTTCTGTCTTCTTTTAATAGATATATTTTTAACAAAATTGTTTCTTTTAATTATGATTTTAACAAAAGTTGACAGATTTTCTTTCTTTCATTTCTGCACATTTTCACCCTCTCTCCCTGCCTCTCCCTTCCTCAGTTCGTTTTTTAAAATATTCATTTGTCGTCAGAGAGTTACTTTTCTCCCACCTTCCCCCAGTCCTCTCTGCAATGTACGTCTTATTCTGGGCTGTTGTCATACATATAATGCCTAATCACATAATCCTTTTAAATAACTCTTTTCCTTTAAAAGATACATTTTTATGCCATAAGCATAAGTGTTCACAAGTTCAGACTTTGTAGTAAGACAAATTTAAGTTTTTTTAAATCTTTTGTTTTTAGGTCAAGATTTTAAAATAGAAGCTTCTTTGGTGGAAGCTACATTATTTCTAGATGTATAACATTTTTAGTTGTTAGCATTTATTAGATATATATGGATATTTATATTTAAAAATATTTAACTGTTGTATGTCATATCAGTATGTTAAAAGACCTATCATCTTTCTCTAGGTTGCTAGTCGAGTGCAGAAGTATTTCATAAAGCTAACAAAAGCCGGCATTCCAGTCCCAGGAAGAACACCAAATTTATATATGTACTCTAAAAAGGTAAAAGGAGAGTAGATCAAAGTAAACCTTAGATTTTAAACTCATCAAGGTCCAAATGACAATATGAAAATGCACACTTTGTCCGAATAGTGTTCAGTTTTATATTTGAATTTTTATCTTCTCCAAATATGTCATTTTAGAATAGACATACTGCATATAAGAATTCATTATTAATTTATAAATAGGCACACATCCATTATTGACACTGAGTGCAATTCCATAGTCTCTAATAGCAGTTATTTATTTAATTTTGGATTAGTTTATGTGAATGGGTATTTGAAAGGTTTTAGCTTGAATGTATCCCAGTAAGGTACTTTTGTGATGATACTTTTTAGACTACTTGACTCTTCAATAAACACTACCAGCTTTTATTTCTCAGATATAGTATGTAATAACATAAATAGTAATGTTAGTGTATTTAATCTTCATTGCTGTGTTAAAAGTATCTAAGTGAATAGCATCTTTACTATTACTTTACTGCTAATAATTTTAATAGCTGGCATTTGCATTATTGAATGCCCTGTGGCAGTACTATTCTATAATCTTTTTTATAGTAAGAAAACTGGGGAACCTTAAGGTATGTTGAGTAAATTGATGATAAATTATAGAACCTTTCATTCTGATCCTCACTTTTCTGTAGTACTTCTTTTCTACAGAATATAGTATCTCTTTCACAGGGAACATTGAATCATATTGTAGCTAATGGTTTGGATACTTTCGAGTTTGTTTCCCTCATTCTTTTTTGCAATAATTGTAAAACTGTACAAGCACTCAACTGGCCCTCTTTCATTGCCATACTAATTTCCTTGTATTTCCATTTCCTCTGATCACTGCTACCACCCTTCAGATAAAAGGAAGCTGAGAATGTATTTGATACTGTTATATTTTCTTTTAAAAAGAAAAAAATCCTTGTTGAGTCAGAACCTACTCATAGCTGAACCCCCAGTGATACTTCAGAATCTACAAATCACGTAGGTAGAGATAGCGTATCTTTCTACCATGGTTCTTAACTTTAATCAAGTTGTGTATATATAGTTCATCGTAGAGATTACCATTAAACTTCAGTGCTTTATACTTAAAAAAAACCCAAATAAAACTAAGCTTTGGAAGTTTTGCCTAGGTTCCCTGCTGCCTGTGTAGTAGAAAACAGAATATGGGGGCACAGGGCCATGAGCATCTCTGAAAGGGCCAGAGTGTGTGAGGATAGTACAGCCCCCCTCCACTCCAGAGCAGAAAGCAGATAAAGAACCCATAGGCCAGTCCCATGGTGCCTCTAGAGCCATAATAGTAGCAGGGTGTTCCTTTATTCATTGTTGACTCAGACTCACAGTTGTGGTATTGAATGGGGTTTACTAGGGAAGTAAATTGGAGAGTGGAGAGGCAAAGAATATCACTTAAAACAAGTCCAGGTTCTAGCCCAAGTTCCAAGGTACAATTCTTCCAGTTAGCCTAGGCTCTGATTTCATTTCAACAACACAAACTCAAGAAGCCTCTCGTTTTCTCAGTCATTGAGCAAGATTTATCTCAAAGCAGTTATAAGCCAGCTTTTCCTTCAGGTATCCTGCAAGAACAGCAAAACCTTTAACTGTGGTCAGCACAAATGTACGAAGTTTCCTTCCAGGTCACACCTTGCCACACTTTCTCCACAGCAATGCCACAGTCTCTCCACCACCATTACCATGGTCTTGTCTTGCTTGCTTTAAGGCTTGATGCCCAGTGTGGGAAGCTCTCTTTCTCTTATCCTGCTCCCACAGCTGTTGATGATTTGTGAGACTGCTGATTTGCAAAACCATATGTCTGCAGTTGGAGATCGGAGGGATCTAACTGTAATGTTTTTTAAAAGTCCACTTTTAGGCTAATACCTCCCCCTAATATAGTATTATCTCCCTTTGATATATTGAGTTTATCGTATGGCTTTGGAATAGTGCAACTTTGGTGATCAATTTTTAATTAGTTTTTATTATTTTCTAGTCAGAGCTTCTGTATAGAGGGTTGCTTTAGGTCACAGATGACACACAGCAACAACAACATACTGTATTGGTTAATTTTTTATTTAAGCCTCTGTTTAGAGTCAACACAACCTCGAGGAGGACCTTTGTATTTAAAAGTTGGTTAAAAGTGGCATCCACTTCCTAAACAACATGCCTCTGGAAACTGTGAACTTAGAGAAACAAAGGTAGTTAAAGAAAGGCTTCAGGTCTTTTCATATGGTTGCTGTGAGTTGTGCTTGACTTGACAACAATCAACAACAACATACTTGACTTTACAGGTGCATTATGCACCTTACGGTTTCAAAGCTTTGATTGAACTGATGATAAATAATAGTAAAGGATTCCAAAACTCTTCATATAAAATAATAGCAATGTAAAATAATAGCTATGAAAAACATGTAAAATAGTAACTATGCTGTCAGTCAAGTGGAGCAGTTTGCACAGTGTTTGAGAGTAAAGAAATGGACATCAGACAGGCCCAATTTACAGTTCTGTTTCTACCACTTTTAGCTGCATTATCTTGAAGGAAAAACTTAACTTTCATATGTCTTCGTTCTTTAATCTTTATAAGTGAAAATACTTTTATGGAATGTTGTGAGGATTAAATATTAGCATAGACTCAGCATTCAGTGTTCTTAGTTTCCATTTATGTGATAATTTTCTGGCTGGTTTTATTGCCACTTCATCTTCTAAGATCTATAAACCAACTCTTGAGAGGAGTTAAAGCTAGCTAGCATTTGAATCCCAAGAAAGCAGTGAATGTTGGAGGTACAAATAAAATTGATGAGTACCTAGATCATTGTCCTCTTGTTCAGGTATTGGCCTGTATTTCTGTTTCTTTATGAGGAATTTTGCTTCAAAAACCCAGACAACATGGAGAAAGCAACCACTAAGCATATACCAAATGATGAATGTCTTATTGGTGCTATCTGGAAGTAATGTTTTTTTATTAAATGATTTTTGGTTGGTGGTTTTGATTTCTTTAAATTATTTTTCCACTTGCCAACTAAAATTTGGTTTCTCATTTAGTCTTCAACAAGCAGACGACAGCATCCACTTAATAAGCATCTCTTTAAACCTTCTACTTTCATGACGTCCCATGAACCTCCTGTATATATGGATGAAGATGATGACCGATCATGTTTTCATAGCCACATGAACACTGCTATTGAGGAGGAATCAGTAAGTTATTATATAGATTATAAAAGAGTGTGAGAATACATGGATATTCCAATTACCTATTTTTTAGAGAATATTTGTTTCGTCTCAGTTAAGCTAGTGTTTTAAAAAAGTAATAGGCTTACAAATTTTTAATTAAGAAATACTTAAATAAAAATAGAATAATAGAATGGACTCATGAACCTATCACTCAACTGCAACAATTATCAACTTGTGGCAATATTGTTTTATTTGTGCTTCTGTGTCATCCCAGATTTTTGGAGTAAGTCCCAGACATGATGATACTTTGTTTCAAAATATTTTAATATGTATAATTAATAACCACAACATCATTATCAAGCCTATGAAAAAGGAATTGTCTATATAATCAAATACACATTTTCCAATTTTCATGGTCACCTTGCTCTTTTGATTCCCCCACTGCCAGTTTTGTTTGTATCTGGTTATAAATAAAAGTTCATCATGTTAAAAAAAGAAGTCCATCATGTACAATAAATTCTTTCTTCTCTGTCTCTTGCCTTTTTGCCTACTCTATTTTTCTTGAAGAACTGGCAGTTTTTCCTATGGAATTTATCACAGGGCAGATGTTACTAATTGTTTATTGTCTTTGTGTCCTTGCTCTTCTGTTACTTAATTGTCCTGCAGCTTGATAGTATATATAGAGAATTGGTCAGATTTGTTTATTTGATAAAATAAGCAGGACTAGTTTATATACCTATTAACTAAGCTGGTTATCTTTGGGCTATTTTTTTTTTTAAATAAATGATTATTGGCAACATCTGCAGATGTTTTAAAACAACAAATTCACTACCATCAGATTTCTATCAACTCATCTCACCTTTAATGGAGAGTCATAGTACCCATAGGATTCCCAAAGCTATAGTTCTTTGTGAAGTTAGATTGTCTCATCATTTTCCTACACATTGTCTTGTGAATTTTAAGTGTAGGTGGTAGTGTATCAGTTAACTCTTGTCTATCCTATTTGTACAGCAGAATGAAACACTGCCCAATCCTGCATCATTCTCACAATTTCTGTTACACATAAGCCTATTTTTGCAGCCACTATTTCCTCTCTGGGGGTTTTAGACATTATAAAAATAGTTCTATTTTCAAATAGAAATGATAGAATAAAACAGCAATACTTTTTTCTTTTTTTTCACATAATGAATTTATTCTTGTATGCTCCAAAGATAACCAATCAGTTTGTGTCTTTTTTAAAAATTTTTATTTTATTTTATTTCATTATTTTTTTGAGTGTACCGTCAAATCAGATCTGACTGATAAAGGAGGAGATTGTTCCTCCTTCTCCAGCAGAGCATCTGGTGTATTCGAACCGTGTACCTCTGAGATGCAGTGCAGTTTCTTGCCACTAGGCCACCAGAGCTCGCCTAGTTTGTGTCTTTAAAACAATTTTATTCTGTAACCTCTTAAACTTACAGATGTTTAATGTTATTTCAGTCCTTTGATGTTACTGTCTTTGCTGGTATCGAAATTGGCTTACCTATAGACAGGTCTTGCTTATTAAATGCTTTGAGTATAAAGTTGGCAGTCATTTTCATTTCTTTGGTGGATAGGGAATTTCTGTTAACAATTTATTTGAAAGAATCTTAAGTTGAATTTATACATTGAAAGTCAGTTTTTTTAAAGCTACTTCAGTTGAATTTCTTTTTAAATGTTGATCTCTTTTGCAGTCTAGACAGTCAGTTTATTCCCTTAAGAGGAATGTACTTCTATTATTGTTGTAATTGTTTCATTATTGTTGTAATAGAGCAGAGATTGGTTTGCTTGTCACGTGTGTAGATAAAGGCAAAAATCAGTTAGATTGGAGAAGTGCTTCCTGCTGATCAAGTAGATTATAAGGAGTTTCTTAACTAGCAATGAACCAGTAGCCTATTAGCACATGATAGAGGTGAAAATCATGCCATGTTCCCTTCTACCTGCATAATGAAATGTTTTGCCATTCAATATTGTTAACATTAACACATGTACCAGTCTGATATATTGATAGATTTTTTTTAGATGCTTTCAAGTAGATTCTGACTCAATAGAGACCCTCCTTATAACAGAATGCATTGCCCATTCTTGCATCCTTCTCAGTTTCTTCTGTGCTTAGTTCATTGTTATACTCACTTTGCGTCATTCTATCTCATTGTCTTCCTTTTCACTATCTTAGTATTTTCTGGGATTGCAGGGCTATTTTTTAAAAAAATTTATCTTTTGTGTATACTGTCAAATCAGATCTGACTGGTACAGGAGGAGATTGCCCCTCCTTTTCCAGCAGAGCATCTGGTGGATTTGAATATCTTAGTATTTTCTAAACATGATGTCTTCCTCCAGCGATTGACCCCTCTAGAACATACCTTAAGTATATGTAATAGCAAAATAGTGGTAGTGGTGGTGGTGTTTAAGGTGATACTGAGTCAGGTACTATTCATAGTTACCCTATGAGAAGAAACCTTGCATGAAATTCGTGGTATTTGATACACTAGAGCCTATTGTTACAGTCTCATTTTTGAGAAGTAGAAAATACATTATTTTTTTTCCCTTTAAATTTTATAATTTTGTGTTTCTGTGTGTGTGTGTGTGTATGTGTGTATGTATCATCACATCGGATTTGATTGGGTATAGGAGGAGATTGCCCCTCCTTCCTCAGCAAACCGCGTACCTCTGGGATTGAAGTGCATCCTTTCCATTAATTCATTGTTGCATTTTCCTCCCTGCCCACCCCTTCCCCTTAACTGTTTTTTTCTAATACACTGTTTCTTTAATTGTGATTTGAAGGAAAATTTACAAAAACAAATTGGTTATACATTCAGAGAAGATGGTCTTTATCCAACTTCAGTAACTATTAACATTAATATACAGTAAATTTATTATGTTGTTGTTATGTGCCGTCGAGTCGCTTGCGACTCATAGCAATCCTGTATACAACAGCCCTAAACTCCGCTCTGTCCTGTGCCAGTCACACTGTCTCTGACACTCCCATCCCAATTATCCCAGTCACTGAATCAATCCACCTCATAGAGGGCCTTCCTCTCCTGCGCTGTCCCTCCACCCTCCCAAGCATGATGTCCCTCTCTAACGACCGGTCTCTCCTCACAACATGTCCAAAGTATGAGCCTCAGAATCCTTGCCTCCAAGGAGCCACCCAGTTTAACCCTTGCCAGGACAAATCTGTTTGTTTTCCTAGCAGTCCATGGTATTCTCAGTATTCTTCTCCAACACCACAGCTCAAAGGCATCAATTCTCCTTCTGGCCTCCTTGGTCATTGTCCAACTCTCTGATGCATAACAAGTGATTGCAAGACCATGGCCTGTATCAGACGCACCTTAGTCTCCAGAGTGACACCATTGCTCTTTAGTACTTTGGAGAAGTCCCTAACAGCAGACTTTCCCATTGTAAAGCACCTTTTAATTTCCTGGCTGCTGGTGCCAAGAGTGTTAACTGTGGAGCCAAGCAGACTAAAGCTGTGTAAAATCTCAATCTCTTCACCATCCATCCTGATGCTGCCAGTTGGTCCAGTGGTGAGAGTCTTTGTCTTCTTGACATTAAGCCTCAATCCATATTGTAGGCTGAAGTCCTTGACACTCTGCAGCAGGCGCTTCAGGTCCTCTTCAGTTTCAGCAAGCAGGGTTGTGTCATGCACATAACGCAGATTGTTGATAAATCGTCCGCCAATCTTGACCCCACATTTCTCCTCATAGAGCCCAGCCTCTCGGATAATCTGTTCTGCATATAGGTTGAAAAGGTATGGAGATAGGATGCATCCCTGGCGTACACCCTTCCCAATTTTGAACCATGCAGTGTTCCCTTGCTTTGTTCTGCCGACTGCCTCCTGGTCCAAGTATAAGTTTCACATTAGAACGATCAAGTGTTCTGGGATTCTCAGAGTCAGCCATAGTTTGTTATGATCTATACAATCAAATGCCTTTGCATAGTCAATGAAACACAGATAGACATTCCTCTGGTATGCCCTGCTTTCAGCCAAGATCCATCTAACATCAGCTACAATATCCCTAGTACCATGACCCCTTCTAAACCCAGCCTGGACTTCTGGTAGTACCATCAAATCTGATCCAACAACAGCTGATCAGGAGAGGAGGAGAGTAGATTGCCCCTCTTTCTCCAGTAGAGAATCTGATGGATTTGAACCACATGCCTCTGGGATTGCAGTGCAGCCTCTTGCTGCTAGGCCACCAGAGCTCTATTTATTACATAAATAACATAATTTCTATTAAGTATGTATGTATGTATAGGGAGCTCTGGTGGCATCTTGTTAAGGAGTGCTGCCATTGTGAAGGCTCATGGCTCAAATCCCACAGCTGTTCTGAAGCAGAGAGCTTGGCAATCTCTTCTCTCAGATAACTTTTTAAAAATTATTCTGAAAAGTATACTTACAAAATCTCTGTCATTTTAATAATTTCCAAATGTACAATTCAGTAACATTTGCTTATATATTTTCTAAGTTGTACAGTCCTTTTCACCCTCCTTTCCAAATCATTTTACAACTATTAAGTTGTAAACTCTTTTCTTTCCCCAACCCTATCCATTTAATGACTTTGTTTTCTATGTACGATTCCTATAAGTGAGATTATATATGATTTGTCTTTTTTCAGTGAACTTAATTTTGATGATGTTTTTAAGGTACTTGCTTGTTGTGGCATGCATAAAAACTTTATTCCTCCATTATACAGTCCATTTTTTTGCTTGTTTGTTTATCCATTTACCTGTTGACAAACATTCCAGTTCTTTGTGAAAAGTGCTGCAATGAATATTTGTTTCTGTTAGCATTTCAGCCTTACTTTTTCTGAATATATACCTAATATTGGAATTGATAGGTCAGATTGTAGTTCCATATTCAACTTTTTGAGGAACTGTCAAACTGTTTGTAATAGAGGCTTTGCCATTTTATTTTCCTATTAACAGTGGTGATTCAAGTTTGTCTATAATCTTAAATATATATCTGAATGTTTATTTTCATTGAGGTTTTATTTTTATTTTAATTATCACTGTTTTTAGTAGGAGACACTCTGCCCAGATTTTGATTGGGTTGTCATTTTGTTCCTTTGTAGAGAGAATGTGTGTGAATTTTTTTATATAGGTAGAGAGATTGATTAGGCCTTTCTTGGGTGTCTAGTGGCTGAAAATATGTAGATTGTCTCATTCATTTTTTAATTAAAAGTGCTATTTCTTAAAATTTTATCTTATGATTTAAAAGCTATGCATAGCAAAACATACACCAGTTTGTTTCTACATTGTTGTACATTTAATGTGTAATTTAGTGCGATGGACAACATTCTTTATATTTTAAAAGCATTCACACTTTCTTTTCCAGAGTTCCTTTGTCTTCAGTGTTCCTCATTAACTTCTTTGAGCTGTCTCTCCCCTCCATTGTAATTTTGATTCTTCATAGATCTTAAAACAACATAATACTCAAGGCAGACATTTTTAAAAGCTATTTCATTTTATGGGACCCCATTGTTTCCTTTATCCTCTACTACTTGTGATTTTTATAGTCAGATATGATAATCCACAGATCAAAATACACTGCACAGCCACATATATTTTCCTCAAAGAATTTTATGGTTTAATATTTATGTCCTTATTCCACTATCATGTCCTTTCTCCACTTTTAGGTTCTTAATCCATTTTAAATTGGTTTTTGTGTATGGAATGAGGCTTGGATCCGGAGATTCTTCTCCTATGGACAATGAATTTTCTAGTATCAGTTATTGATGATACTGTTCCCTCTCCCATTGAATATATTTAGAATACTCGTAAAAAAATCAATTGACCATTGATACATGGGTATATTTTGATGGAGAATTCTGATATACCTGATAAAAATTTTTAGCATCTTAAGTGAGATAGACTCGAAGGATAGCATCAAAATTTCCTAATTTTAATTATCAAATTAATTTTTTGTTTTTAAAAATAGGACGAAGAAAGTATTCCTGTTATATATAGGAACTTACCTGAATATAAAGAACTATTACAGTTTAAAAAATTAAAGAAACAGAAACTACAACAAATGCAAGCTGAAGGTGGATTTGTGCAACATGTGGGCTTTAAGGTAAATTCTTTTTTTTTGGTAATTAATTTCATTTCTAAGGTGGTTTTCAGAGCATTAAATTCCTACACTTTCAAAGTAAAAATAAGATTAGCTCTTTTCTTATGCATTTGTAGTATGTCACAGCTTTTGATTCCAAGAGTCTTACGTGGAGAAAAGATACATAGCTATTTTTTGCTGTGAGTTAAGTCAACTTGACTTCAACCGCTTTATGAGGTTTGAGAATCAGATTGTCAGATTCAGCTGCCTTTAGGTGAGTTTTAACTACTAGTTAAGCACATAGCCATTTTGTACCCTCAGGGCTTACAGAATTTGATATATAGTATGAAATGAGAAGTTTCCATCTAGCTGTTTTCTATTTTTATTGCTATTGTTCATGGATAAAAATGCCTTTTTGCCTCCGATTCAGAATTATTCCAGGGTTTATTTTTTTCCCTCCTTGTTTTATTTGTCCTGTCCATCGTCGTCCGTGTGTCGTCCCCCCCCGGTTTCATTTCTTGTATTTGAAACACTCTTCAGTGACATCCTTGGCCTGGGATTCTTTGCCATAGTTTTTAACACAGCTGCAGCCATCACTTTGTGGGGCTTTCCTTTGGTCAGTTTTGCAGAAGCCTACCCAGTCTGATCACTTACTATGCATTTTAGACCTGGAAAGTGAGTAAAGATGATAGAAGAATTATTGATGCCTTTGAGCTGTTGTATTGGAGAAGAGCAGTGATTTCCCCATTGATGGCCAGAAGAACAAACAGCTGTGTCTTAGAGATGGTACAGACAGAGTGAAGCACATGATGCTAGGAAAGGTTGGCAAAGGAGAGGAAGACCTTCGACCAGGTGGATTGGCACTGTGACTACCGCAGTGAGCTCTAATGTGTCAGAAAGTGTGAAGAGGGCACAAGATAGAATAGGCATCAGATCTTTTGTTTATAGGGTTGCTGTGAGTAATACTTGACTCCATGGCACCTAACAACAACCTACTCCCCTAGTTTTTTGTCGTTAACTTTTATTAGTTTGATTTGGTGTTTGGCACAAAGGGCCTCTATTAACTTGAAATACATAGGCTTATTACAGTTGGATACAAGCCCACAAGGTGGGCTTGATAGGTTTGTGGATTCCATGTGCTAGGCTATCATGGATGAAGGGAGTCCTTAGCATCTCTTATAACGTGGTATTAACATCCATTACATCTCCAGTAGCAATGTCATCCTCTGCATGGTGGTGGCTTATGCGTGAAGCAGAATCTTGAATGCACCTGTATCTCTGCCTCCATACAACTTGGTGGTGACTGGGGAAAAACTTGTTTTTCTGAGAGGCTTATGAAGAGAACATGAGGCGTTGGTTGAAGAAGGTCAAGGACTGTAGTCTTTAATATGAATTGAAGCTCAAAATCAAGAAAACAGATTCTCTCACCACTGGGCCAATTGGCAGCTTCATGAGAGATGGAGAAGAGATTGATATCTTAACAGCTTCAGCTTGTTTAGTTTCATAATCAGCACACTTCGTACCAGCAGCCAGGAGATGAAAAGACACATTGCACTGGCAAAACCTGTGGTCGGGGACCTCTCTAGAGTACTGAAAAGCAACGATCTCTGTCTGGAGACTAGGTGCACCTGATTCATGCTGTGGTCTTCACAGTTACATCAGAAAGCTGGACAATTGACTAAGGATGATAGAAGAATTTATGCCTTTGAGTTGTGGAGCTGGAGAAGAGTGTTGGACTGCCAGGGAACAAAAACATCTGTCCTGGGATGGGTGAAACCAAGATGCTTCCTGGAGTCAAGTCTGTCTCACAGACTTTGTGCACATGGCCAGGAAAGACCAGTCCTTGGAAAAGAACATCATGTTTAAAAGGATGGAGGGACAGTGCAGGAAAGGAAGACCCAGGAGGAGAGGGATTGACTCAATGACTAGAAAGATGGGATTAGGTCTCTTTGAGACAATGAGATTGGCTCAGGATAGGGCAGGGTTCAGAGCTATGAGTCGCAGGCAGCTGAATGGTACATGAAAACAACAGCAACACCAATAAATGTATATCTTTTAACTTCTCCAAACGCTGGCATAGTTTTTATGTACTGAACCTTTGCTGAATGTTGAGGATTCAGCAGTAAACCAGATGGACTGAATCTCTACCCTCATAGAACTACTTTTACTTTCATGAGGAATTTAGATAAGTTAAATAAATAGGTGGGCACAATTAACGTGACTATCAGAGCAGAGAGATAAGGCTGTTAAGATACCTTAAGAAGTTTAAACTTTATCCTAAGAACTTAGTGATCTATTGAATTTTAAGCAGAGTACGGTGAAATTTGCATCTTAGAAAGTTCATTCTGAATACTTCACTCTCAAAGTTGATAACCTTTAGGGTAGATGGTAGTATTAGAATTGAATTGCTCTTAATTGCTGACTACTGTATTGTTAATTTTTTTTATTTTTATTTGAAAAATACCCACAGGATTTAAAAAAAGAAAAAGCAGAGGGGGAAAGAAATAATTTTTGCTGTATTACGAAGAATGAATTGAAGGAAGACAAAAATGGAGGCAGGGAGACTGATGAGAGATCATTTTGACAATTAGCCTAAAGATGATGGTGTTTGAATTTGAGTAAGCTGTGTGAATGGAAAGAGGTTTGAGGAAATTATGCGTTATAAGTGACTATATTGTGTGGCTGTTGTTGTTACTTGCCATTGAGAGAACTGTGACTCTTAGCAACCCTTTCAACAACAATTCTGAACCTTGTCCCGTCCTGTGCCATTATTACCATCTCTGATACTTAAACCCATTTTTACAGTCACTGTGTCTATCTTGTTGAGGGTCATCCTTTTTTTCTCGACCATCCTCACTTCCCAGCATGAGAGATGAATTTCAGCATTCTTGCCTCTAAGCCGTACCCTAGTTGTACTTTTTCCAGCACAAACTTGTTTGTGGGACTCAGGGGAAATAAGGAGACCATGAACTATATAATAGGAGGTGATGTCATTAAAATGATGGATGTTGTGGCTGATGAAAATGACATAAAAATTGGTGGATGTTTTAGCTGATAAACTGAAATATACCTCTTACACTCTGGAAGTTGCCACAAATTAGAAATGATTTTTCCTCTTGATCTTCCAATGATCTTGGTTTTCCATGAGAGATTTTTTTTAGGTGGTCAAGTTTTTCAAGGGCATACTTGATTTTACTGTCATTATTTTGCTGCAGGACCCAGCCCTTTCTTGTTTCCGAGTCTGTTAGCAATAATCAAGGAAACTAGAAATAAGATTTAATTTAATGTCGCAAATCAAACAGAACACACTGAGTGCTACCAGCATGGTCTATGCTTAGAATTAACTGCTAATTTGGTTTTGTTGTTTTTGTTTTTATAATTTTTTATTTTAATGAAAGTTTGCAGAGACTTTGGATTTCCATTCATTCACTGTTGCACACTTTCCTCCCTTATCACCCCTTCCCCCCAATTTGCTTTTCTCTTTGAAAAGTAAAAGTAAATAAATTCTTTCATTGTTATACAATCACCCTTTATTCCCCCCCCCCCCAGTCCACTCCAATATGCAGCATTCATTCTGGACTCTTGTCATGACAATAATACCTAATTGTATATTCCTCCTAAATAGTTCTCTCTCTCATCTGTTTTAATGCAGTATACATAATTTATCTCATCTTTCTCAGTTTCCCCTCAACCCTGATGCAAGTCCCATTTTATAACAGTTGCATTATGCAGTATATGCCCTTTTGTGACTGAGATATTTCCCTCAGAAAATTGTCCTCCAGGGTCACCCATTTTGTGTAATATTTCATGAGTTCCTTCTTTTTCAGTGCAGCATAATATTCCATTGTGTGAATATGCCATAGATTCTCTAGCAATTCGTTTGTTGATGGGCACTTGGGCTGTTTCAAGCTCTTTGCTATTGTGAGCAATAGAGCCACAATATACATGGGCGAGCATATATCTGCTTGGGTGGCAGTTCTGATTTCTTTGGGGTATATTCCCAGTAGTGGAATTGCTGGGTCAAATGGTATTTGTATTTCCACCTTTTTGAGAAAGCGCTATACAGCCTTCTGTAGTTGCATCTTTTTATACTCTCGCCAACAGTGAATAAAGGTTCCAATTTCTCTGCAACCTCGTCAGCATGTGGTATTTGCTGTTCTGTCACATTTTGCTATTGTAACTGGGCTGGGATGATATCTCATAGTTATTTTGATTTGCATCTCTCTTAGAGCTAGGGATTTTGAACATTTCTTCATGTATTTGTTCACCATCTGAATGTCTTCCTTGGTGAAGTGTCTGTTCATATGCCATGCCCGTTTTTCAATTGGGTTGTTTTCCTTTATCTTCTTGTGCTCGAGTATTTTATAAATTCTTGATATAAGTCCCTTTTCTGAAATGTCGTTGTTTCTATTATGTGCCATCAAATCTCTTGTGACTCATAGCGACCCTATGTACAACAGACCTAAACTCTGGTCTGTCCTGTGCCAGTC